TAAAATTGCTAGAGGCAATTTTAGCTAAGGTAAGAGAAGCACTTGATCCTAAATACTTTCTGGTGGGGGAAAACATTCAGTAAGTCATATTTTTTTCAGATTGGTGCATAAGTTACATATTTTTAAAGTTTAACCATTTATTTACAATGCTCTTTAAAATAATTTACCAATTTGTGGAAATAAAGACTAAGATTTACAGTTAACACTGGGAATTCTTTTTGTAATAAATGTTACAATATTATAAATTGCTGCTGTTGTAAATGGTTACTTTCTGTCACTGACCTTTCAAACTGACCTCAATTTAAAATTGAGGTTAATTGACCTCTCAATTTAAAACTGAACTTTAATTAAATATTGGGACTCTAATATATAGTAAATGGAAATTTTTATTTAAAAATCTACAAATATTTTTACTAGGTTTTTCCTCTTTAAAGAGATGGATTTACTGGGGTTAAATAGTGACCAAAAAATGAACATTGAAGGTGCCAGTTAGAGATTTAGTATTATCCAATAGTTGGCAAAATGTTCCACAAAGATCTCTGTGGCACATGAAGAGCATCATGCTCTTTTTACATGGAAGCAGCTAAAAATGGGTTGGCTGAGCTTGATAACTGACTTTTCAGAGTGAAAATTGGACCCTGACATTTTACTCCAACAGAAAAAGTGTTCATTGAAGGCCAGATGCCAATATGTAAAAGGTGGAAAACTTCAACAATCCAATGCACAGTTAAAGGGCATCACCAAAAATTAGGGTGCAGATTAACTGGCAGATTAAAATTGTTACAAGGCTGTTTGCACATAAATATAAGCATGATCCCATAAGTGGAAAGTTATGGTAAACCAAGCCATCCAAAACATTTTAGATGGTTTGGATGGAAATGATATATGGACGATATATAAACCTATCGTCCATGAACAGAGCCATACAACTACGGCCCACCTCCTGAAGCAGAGATCCAGCATGCCCAGGACTTTAGGTTTGGAGTGAATAAAATTAAATGTCATAATATATTCAGGTTGTTGTTTAGAACAGCAACAATGAAATTGGCTTAGAGAAATGTTACCCTTTAGGGAGATAGATCTTAGCCTACCTGTTAGCAGTACTTTGAATAGGCCACATTGCTGAAAGAGTTACAGCTATACTGTGTATCATTTTGTTTTGGAGCTCAGAAATAGTCCTAATTTGAACAGAAACTAAAGAGTTTTGGATTTCATTAATGAATTGTGAATCTGTTTTCTGACATTTAAAATGAATCTCCTGATATATAAATGTTTCTCACCCACTACATCATGTCTAAAGAATTTTATTTGGGCTGATTGGGACCTAACTCTGCAATAATATTACATGCAATGTTAGAGCTCAGATCATAGGAAGTTAACACTATTGACTTTAAGCTGAAGATGTTCTGAAATTAAAATTCTTTCCTTCTGCATTTCTAAGCTGTAGGACTGAATAGAGAATACCAGCTGGAGTGCATGTTGCTGTGTGTGAGGCTATTCCTCATAGAAGACTGGACTGCATTTAAGACTCCCGAGTCCTGGAGTCACCTTTCCCACGTGCTGTTCCTATAGGCGGAACCTGGGAAGGCTGATACGTACCGCACCCCTGGTTTTAAAAACACACTGTCCGTTAACACCGCAAGGTGGAACCAGCATGCCCAGGAAGCAGAAGAGTTCTCCGTTGATTCTCTACTGGTCTGTGTTGAAGACTGGAAGCCTGCAAGTTTACTGACTGACCTTAGCTTCCCAGTGCAGAGTGAACTGCACACCAGTAGATCTCCACCAGGTTGTTGCGTTGTGTTACCCAGAAGGATGAGCAAAAGCAAGGTGTTGCTACCCAATGATCCTCCCAGGGAAAAAGAACCTGGACCAGTTGCAGTAATTTTCTGCCTTCAAGGTCTTCAAGCACCTACTAGGATTCAAACCACCAGCCCTGAAATGAGAGGAAAGAGCAATTCTAGTGCCATCATACACCGCAAGACCCCTAGAAAGCTCAGTAACAGCAAAGGGTTATAATCACAATCACAAAGTGAAGAGACTTACCCAAAGCTGCTACCATGGGATCCATCTCAGCAGGCAGCAGTTCCACTCTGAACACCTCATTGTGACTCATGGTGCAGATTTCATAAATGTTTTAGCTCCTTCTAAAAGATCTAGTTTGACAGAGGAGCTCATGCTAATCACAACACGATGTGGTTTGTTAGGGATTGCTGCAAAAACTGCTGAACTAGAAGCTAAAATATGATTTTATACAATCCAATCCTGGACATTTTAGTGCAATTCTGATGTTGAGATCAGCATTAACACATTTTGGCTCCTAGCACAAGCTCAGATATGAGATTAGAAGAAGAGCAGTGTTTTCTGTCTTAAAAATGGATTTTGAAGATAAAACAAATGAAATAAAACATGGTTAAAAGAGCAGAGATTTGAAACCAAATTCCAGCATTTAAAGCAGCATTATTAAGGAAGTACTTCATCCAATAGATTCTCAGATGAGATTTTAAAGCTGAACTATGTGGATTTACAATAGGGAAATATGGGAGCACATAATATGGGAAATATTGGTGGATTGAATATGGGGAAATAGAGGTTGATTTAACATGGGAAATATGGGAGCACTTAATCACCCATATTTCCCATTTTAAGTCCTCCTGCACAAAAAGGCTTATAGCACCTGGTATTTCTAGGAGGTCTCCCTTCCAAGTACTAACCAGGCCGGACCCGGCTTAGTTTCCGAGATCAAGTGTTCTCAAGATACTGTGGCCATAAGCCGCAAAGTGCTGCTGGCTCCAACTTTTTGTAAAGCACCACATCAAGCTGCCACTTCATTTTCTTTCGCACATACATCTTTTAAGGCTTCACCATGCTTCTCTGTAGGGGTGGGTACACAGCTTCATGAGGTGGTAAGGTAAAGCTCCATGCCTGGTTCTATGTCTGATTCAGCCCAGCCAAGGTAAACCTGGAGTAGGGGAGCTTCATGAGCACCCATATTTCCCAGTTTGTTGTGGCTCTCCATGGCCTTATGTCCACCGGAAGGATGAACATAAGCAGCCATAGCAAGGTGTGATCTGGAATGCAAACAGAGCCATTATAGTGGCATCATATACAGTAAGAGTCCTAGAATGCTCAGTTTATGTGATTCATGAAAGAATACCTGACCACGTTAACAAAGTGAGCAGATTTAAAGGCATAAACATGAAAAGTATATTCTGTGATGCAGCAGGCAGCAGCTCAACAATGCACAGCCCATTCTGACTCATGGTGCCAATTTTCTACATGTTTTCAAGCTCATTCTAATTCATAAACAGAGGAGCTCATGCGGATCACAACAGTATATGGTTTCTTAGAGTTTGCGCACAGAAAAAAAGTAGAAGTTAAAATTTGAAACCTCACCGTGCAATGCATTCTGGGAAATGCTAACTGACATTTTAAAGTCCATTTCTGATGTTCAGAATGTCAGAATGGCGTTAACACACATTTCTGGCACCTAGCAGAAGCTCTGAGATGCCATTTGAAGCTGAATGTAATGATTGAATAGAGGGATACAGAAATTCAGCCACAACAGATGCTGCGCTGACGCAGGGCTCAGGAGGAAGTGCCTGGAAAGGGGAAGCGCTGATGCTGGGCAGCGCACTAACGTTATGAAGCAGCAGAAGAAGAAAATTCCAGATCCGAATTCTTAGTCAGACAATTGGAGGTTATGCACAATGGGGGCAACAGCAGAATCCATGGGAGTTTGCAAAAGCAGTGAAGCTGAACATTGAGTTGAGATAAGATAGGCATCAGCAAAAGTCTGACAAGGGCAAAAGTGGGAAGATCCAAGGAACTAAACGTGGCCGTAACAATGAGGGCGAGATTGGAGTGCTGGAAAACTACTTGCTGAAAGCGTTAAATAATCTGGCAGTGTGATTGTGACTGAGAGGAGTTTATTTCCTGCACAGAGGTGCAGGAAATAACGGGAATGAGGGGCATGAAATTGATAGGCTGATATAAAAAACACAAAGCACCATGTGATCATCACACTGAACTGTAATTTCTTTGATAAGAAATGAGTTTGAAGACAAATGAAACTAAATAAATGATGTTTTTTTAAAAGAAATTCCAGCCTTCAGAGAAGCATTACAATAAAACTCCTCATCCAACAGAAACTGAGAGATGACATTTTAAAATTGAGTAAGAATGGAATAAAATCTGCTTAAGTTGAGGTACCCTCTTAAGTCTCAGCTCAATCGGAAATTCTTAGCCAGACTTTGACTAGGTTAAGATAGCAGCTATATGAAAGAAGTGAGCTGAAGTGGTTGGTACCTGCAGAGGGTTGGAGAGAGTACACACAACAACTTTGGTAAAAACGAGCACTTCTACTTTTTAAGTTATTCCAAATGAGCAATTTTTGAAATGAATGGAGGGAGTGGCAGCTATGTGAAGGGAATGAAATGATTTTAGGTATTTATCAAACTCAAGATGGAATTGTCAGTTTTTCGCTTTGCATTAACAGTCAGACCTTCAAATGCTCGTTTGATATGCAAGTTCAACTCATTGATTCACACCAACCTACCTCCAGGTAGAGCAGCCTCTTGGCACCATCTAGTGGAAGAAGAGGGGAGCAGCATGCAACAAAAAAATCTCCACAAGAGTAAAAAAAACCCAGTTTCTAACACAATTTTCAGGCTTATTAGCTGAGGAACAGGCACACAAATGCAGTACTTCTGGTTGTTTGAAACTGAAACCAAGTCTAAATATTATGTTTCATGAGAGCAGAGCTTGACTAATTTCGAAAAACTACTCAGAGGACATAACGTAGCTGGTGGCAACTTCTTTCAGCAAAGATTTACAGTTAACAGCTTTCATAGAAAGAAGCAGAATGATTGGAATTGATCCGTGAGTCTCTTCTTCCACTCTCCTTCCCGCCCCCGTTTTATCATGCTGGCGTGACCTATTAGTGCTGGCATTAGGAAGAAGTATGAAGCACAGAGGAGTCGCTCTTCATCAGGGTATAAATACAGAGAACCAGCAGTAGCAGTTACCTGATCCTGTTTCTGTCAGCTGAGCTAGACACCAAGCCAACATGACGTCTGGCACCATAAAGGTAAGAAAATACAAATGTCCATATTCATGTTTGTTTTATATTCTAATTTAATTGAACATTTAGTGATTATTTGCAGAGTACAAAAATGGTTGAACATATTTTCTTTCAAAACTCAAGTTTTAAGATAATTGAAGAAAATTAACTGAACCTTAGAAATTCCTCAAATATTTCACTGAGCTTTCAGATGCAAATATTTTTATCTAACCATTTTATGGGTTAGCTATTCTTTAATCTTCTATGGGTGAATCAGGGGCCTTTTTAAAATGTGAACACTGTTGTAGAAGCTGGCACGGTGATGATTGGAGTTCTCTTTTTGACTTGTCTATGTCCCACAGGGTCTGACCAACCTGCTCACCCTTTTGTTGCTTGCATCCTTCATCTCACATTCATGGAGCGTGCCAAAAGTAACTATTTCTTTTGGTTTTGATTTGTTTGGTTTTTGTCTTTTTTTACTTTTATGAATAAAAGTGTTGATTTGCAAAATTAAAAACTGGATAAAACTTTGTTTTGTCTTCAGGGCTCATTTCAACGAAGAAACTGGACTCCGCAGGCGATGTTGTACTTAAAAGGAACACGTATGTTTTTGGTCTTTGACCTTTAGGGTTTTATTTTATTTTAAAACTATATCATTGTTGTCATTTATTCATATCATTGAAACCTTTTCACATTTTGTCATATTTCTGGTCTTCAATGAGTCATTTGACAGTGTGTAATGTCATCAGGCTGATAAATAATGTGAAAATATTTTGAAGGGTGCTTGTGTTTGCCAAGTCCAGCAGTGAGAGTAAGTGAGCTCAAGCTCTGATCTGTGATGAGGACACTGAAGTCCACTGAAGTCCTCCCACAGCATTCTGTCTGAAAATCTGGGCTCATTAGATATTAACCAACAGGAATCAACATCCAGTAAATAAAAAATATTGATAAAACTAATTAAAGATTGAAAAAATATCCAAAATTTCAAGACAAAAATAACAAACGATTTCTATGTTAAACTACAACAGTACAACCTGCTCTTACAGTATTTTCAGTGTCATCATATTATTAAAATGCCAACTCAAATTAGTTAGAGAACTGTATAGAAACGTATTTATGATCAAGTTTATTATTAAGAAATGATTATGTTACTGTCAGGTGGGCTGCACTGACTGGGTGAGGCTCAAAGAACAGACTGGACAGGACACAAAATAATAATCAGGAAAATCATTCAGTTTGAAAACGGAAAAGAGTTGGCAATAGAAAGAACAGAACTGAAACCTTCCCAGTATTGTGTTTTTATTTTAACTGTTGCAACCTGCTAGGGTAACCACTAATCTCTTTCTAGGCTCTATGGTTCAACACATGCTTGTTTATTGTTCTTTCTTAGCTTTGCTTCATCATTCTTTGTAAATTCAGAAGGAAATTTTAAACTTTTGTCTCTTTCTGTTCTTTAGTTTCCTTTTTTTTTTAACTATCTGCCTCCACCGAATCAATCTATCAATATATCCATCACACAATTTTATTTATACCATCTTGTAGATTTGGTTACAGTGAGATGAGTGAGTCTTCTAGCAAGAAAGAAAACTTTACAAGAACACAACAATAAAAATAACATGATTCAAAATGGTCTGGTGATAATACTTTCAAAATTAAATACAATTAAAAACCTTCAAATACAGCATCCTTGTTTGGAAAATTAGGTCATGCAACACTGATTATGTGTTTGATGACGGAATGACTTTGCAACATAAACATGCAGCTCAAAAACTTTGAATTTGCATAATACCTTCTTTCATAAATGCATATTATGCATTTAATGATTATCCTGAGTTCCTGTCTCCATTTTGGTGAAACTCCAACACCACCATTCATAAGTCTTCCAGTATTTGTATTGATCTATCACATGAACTACACTGAAGGCTGTGATTATAATGTGACAAAATGTGAACATGTTTAAGGGATGAAAAAATTTATGAGCCACTTTAAGTCATAATATTCAACCTCAAATATTTGAATGAATTGTTTGTTTTTACTAACACAGCTGGAGAATGGCCATGTTTGATCCAAACTCTTGTGCCTACATTTAAAGAGGAAAAAAATTGAATTTGTAAGGAAATTAAACTGACTTGTAATACTTTTTGTCAGAGGGTCGTAGGTTCATCTCTGAGGACCGAAAGGAAGGAGATGTCTATGACACGCTGCACTTAGGTACAACAATGTTTATTTGGTTCACAGTTGAGCTCAATTGATGTTCATTCTGAAGAAGTTTTGTTCATAGTTTGAGAACAGTCAGAGTTCCCACGATCCGCCTCAGACCTGAAATCAGAACTTAGCTGTTTGGAGGACTTCTGATGTGTGTGTCCTTTTTGTTTTTTGTTTCCTTCAGAGACCCGCAGTCAAAACACAGAGAAGTTGAGTGTTGGCCAGGCGGCCACAGTGCTGCTGAAGATCCTGCAGCAAGCCAGAGAGGGAGGTGAGCACTCAGTCTGACTGCTTGTTTCTTGGTGTTGTTCCAAAAGTTATTTGCTGTTCTGTTCTCCAGAACTGGGTTAGGGTTATGGTGTTCTATGATATGATGTTTGCCTCTTTTTTCTCTCTCCTTGCAGATGAAGCTCCAGATGAGGTGTATTTCCCAGTGTGGAAGAGAGAATACTTCTGACATCAACAATAATCATCATATTTCATTATTTTTGTATTTGTGTTTGGTGCAACACTGTCAAAAAGCTGCATTGTAAATATGCATTATCTCACTGTGTTTAAAATGATATTTTAATAAACACTTGGGGATTATTGCACTTTAGGTCTGAGGTTGACTTAAATGTTTGAAATAAAATCACTGCCCATTCATACAATCTGAATTCATTAACAGTGAAAACTTGTGTAAAAGTCAAGTTTATTTGTGTAGCACATTTCAGCAACAACGCAGATCGAAGTGGTTTGCATCAGAGCTCTGAGGAGCTGATGGGGCCCAGACCTGCTGCTGCACACCTGGCATGAATGAGTGGCTGATTAGCAGGTTTCTACAGGCAGGCAAAGGCGGCGATTCAGTTGTGCTGCAGAAGGACACATCTAAAACATGTCCCCTGTGAGCCCTGAGGACCTGCTTCACATGATCGAAACATGACAGTAATTATGTTGGGACAGCAAATATGCAACAAACATTATATTTTTGCAAATAGCATCATCAAAATAAAGGATTGTTTCCATTAAATATACATCAGGTATATGGATCAATGGTCCAGGTATTATCAGTCAAAAGCATCTGGAGGCGTTTGCTTTTTAGCCTTGATTTAAAGAATCTTCATGTTGCTAGAGGTTTGAGCATATAAAAGAGGAGCATATAAAAACTGAATGCTCCTCCATGTTTGGTTCTGGACGCAGAGCAGACCAGAACCAGAAATAAATGGACTTTTCAATAATATTCTAATTTATGGAATGGGTCTGTTGGTTTATTTGATGTAGCTAACTAATCAGTTTAGAGAAACAGCAAGAGTCAAAGAGAAGTTTAAATTTCAGAAGTTCATAGCTTTTGCATAATTAACAAAAACAAAGACAATGTTTATGAAATAAAGGGTAGACAGATCCAATCATTTCCTGAAGTATTTTGAACAGCATCTTTTTGTTCATGCATCCTGACTGGTACAATTAAAGTTTTGTGAAAGTACAAGTAAAATGATAATTGTCATTTAATCTCTAAGTTTATTGAATGTGTTGGGCAGTCGGTGGAACAAGTAAAGATTCTGAACTTAATTTATTGATTTTAATTCCCTGACTCTCCTGGCTGCTTTTTCTTGCCTTCTGGCACTGATCCCAGCATAAAAGGAGCCTTGATGTTCAAGCGGTCCCTCTCTGCCTCCTCTTCTTCATTGTAAGGCTCATCATCATCATCATCATCACTATGGTGCGGGGTGGAATGGAGGGAGGCAGAGGGAGATGGAGGCACTGAAGCTGGTCGAGGATAACGGAAACCCTCCGTCTGTGAAGAAAACACAGAACGTCCTTTTCATTAGCAGTCTTACCATCTACAACTTTTATGCCATCATTTTACCCAGAGCAGTTTCTTAAATAGGAAAGGAATATGGCTGACCTGACCTGGGAATGCCTTATTAAATCAACAGGAACTCTTTCCTGCTCTTTGGAGAAACTTCACAGAAAAGGGAAACATTTGGGAATTCTTTACTTGCCTTTAGAGGGCCTTTGTTATCCATCTTGTACTTGTCTGGGAAACTTCTGCTTAGTGCCAGATGACGGGCGTGTGTGTAGAACTGTCACAAAAAAAATAGATGCCAAAAAAGTCCATCAAAACATCTTGTATGTAATGTTTTACTTTAGTTTTTTTTCACAGAGTAAAAATAAGAATCACAAATATTATGACAATTATAGCTGTTCAATTTGATTTTGAAACAAAAATCAAGTTAATAGTGAAAATATGTCTCTATAGAGTTCCTATACAAAGTCCTCACTCCCTTTGATGTTTTATCATTTATTGCTTTTATGACAATCAAAATTTGACAACAATTTCCCTTATGTGGGTTCAGAGTCAAAAGTGATTTTGAGATAAAAATGGCAAATAAAATTATTTAAAGGGGAGTATTATGTTAAATTGATTTTTTTTAAAACTTTGAGAAATCCTTGAATCTCCCATGGCAACCATTCAGGGGTGTCGAACTGCTTGAGAAGCTTCTTAAAGAGACAGATGCCAAATGTCAAGGGACTAAACTACGAAGCTGACAGATGAAACAGTTTATCTAGAAGAATGGAGAAGTGAGCGATCCTTACAGAGAGCCACCTGATAAATACATACTGGGAGGGTGAATATTAATGCTATTCCTTATTTTTTACTGATAGTTGATTGATCCGCAAAAGCAACTAATAGGGTAAAAAAAATCATCAGATGGGTACTTTCTGTAGGGACTGTTCATTTAATTTGTTCCACTCTAAAAGAGTATTTGATATTTATTTGTTGGCAACAATAACACAAAGTTAACCTGTGCATCACTTGCACATCTCCAGCAGAGAAAAGGAAGTGCCATTCTAGTCATTGGAGCTTAATTGCTTGTCATATTTTTGGTTTTTGAAAACACCATTACACTCATTTACTGGGATGTATTTATTTAGAAGTCATTGTAAAACCAACGCCTCTCCTGCAGTTAAGCTGTTTCTCGGTGTGTTAGAAACAGACCCTTCCTAAGTATCTCCAGTCCAGCAGGTCTGACAGCCTCTCAGTTCGGTTCCTCTGAATGATGCGCTGACGTCGAGACTGCTGACAGAAACTGAACATGAACTGGGTCAGCTGGTTGCAGGACTCCTCAGCAGATTTGAACCGACGGTCCACGATGTAGATACCTATGATAGAAAAGAGGTTTGAAGGAAGACTGATCTGAGATGAAAAAAGATGAAGCAATGAAGCGTCTGTGTGTGTATTACCGTAGGCAGCAGGGTCTGAGACATGCTCCTCCATAAAACAGCCGAATCCTGAAAGATTGGTGGTAACACTTGGTATGCCCATCACAGTGCACTCACCTGGAAAAGACACACACAGCACACATGTATGCTTAAAGGTGGGATTGTGAAGACAAGTACATTAACAAAATGTATCTCAATGATTACAAACAAGAAAACTGCAACAGAGACTTGTGTTACGACTTGTCCAATTTGTAATTGTAGCTGTAACACAGTTGTGCATGATGCCTTACAACAAATCATAACCTGAAAGATGAATGTTTTCGAATGTTTGTTGCACCAGTTTATTATTATTGAAAAGGTCCCATGCTCACACAGCATGAGCCACAGTTTGCTGGTCAAAGTCTACCTGGTGTGTATCCCCACGGTTCATAGTAGGAAGGGAAAACTCCAAGGTTACAGCCTCGGACAAAGTCCTCGTAATCCATTGGCAGCAGAGGGCTGGTGGAGGACAAGAACTCAGGATGGAAGATGATCTGAGAGAACACATGAACACAATGGGTCTAGCTGGTTTTTCAGTAAGCTAGGCTACTTTCCTCTTTTGTTTTGTTATGATCTCATATAGAAGTCACAGAAATCAGCTTTTTTTTCTTTTTTCTTTTTGGCTTGAAAAGATCACACTTGGGCTGATCAGATTACCATGAAAAAGTTAGATATGGACTGAAAAAAACAGATTTGTATATTTTTTTAGCCAAAATCAAAACCATAACACCCATGGCCATGATATTTCATTCAGATTTTCTCAAATTTTCTCTTGTAATCTTAAAGTAATTTTTTTCCAGGACAAAAGTTTTAAACTATTCCCTTCCAATCTTCTATAAAAACAGCATCTACCTTCAACCAAGTTAGTGTGTTTGAGTTTCCAGGTATGTTCTTCCTACATTTAGTGTTTAATGTTCTATAAATGTTTAATTCATGTTTTTTATTATTATTTGTGTTTGCAAATCATCGCATTTTGGGAAGAGTAACAGTTCTTCCCAATCAAATTGGCATTTTGTTATGATTACTATTTGAATGCCATGCCATAATTTCTGTACTTTTGGTCAAATACATTTGATAAGAGAATGTATTGTACTTGCATTTAGACAACAAAATATGACATTATTTTAATCATTAGAGATCAAATAAAAACAGTGCACTAATAGAGGCAGAAGTGGGGACTTACTGACCCCAGCACCGCATGTTGTAAAAGACAGAATGTTTAATGTACCTTGACGCGGTCGTTTCTGGAATTGAAGAGACCGATGCGTCTGACGTTGAACAGGATTGGATCTTCAGAGTCGTCCTGCATATTGTGAGTGGTCACTGGAGGAAGACTGTGCCTCTGAGACAAATCATTAAGACGTACAGTGAGCAAAGTTTCTAGTTTTAGGCTCTGAAAACCAAGTAAAATGTTAATTCTTTTAGGCAACGTCAACCAATACATTGAGGCCGATATTTGCTGTCATTTGTGAATCTTTTGTCCATTCATTCAGTATGACTATATTGCAAAACCTTTTTACATTGCATCAACTCACATGATTGTAAACTCTAGTGCTTTTAAATTAGATCTGATGTGACAGAGCAACAAAAAGCTTTTAAAAACTGTCAAAAGGGAGTGAACATAAGAGTCTAGTTTTATTTATTTATTCAATGAAAAAAAAACTACAGTGGTGTGGAGTTGTTTGAGGCTAGGGTTCAAGTCTTTCAGGGTATGTCTCTGTAGGGCTAAGCACTCTGTAGGGCTAAGCACATTGCTAGTGTCATCATGCTTGCTTCATAGCAATTCCAGACACAAAAGCAGATTTAGAAAGGTTTACAGATCAAGGTAGTTCAGAAGAAGTCCAGCCGGTGTCTGCGGGAATCCCCATGGCAGCACTGACTGCAGGATGATCCCAGCATGCAGCTTTGCACAGAAGTTAAATCATCATTGGTGTGTTCATGCAGAGTGTCACCTTCCATATGGTCACATCTTCAGTTTTTTATTTGGCATCATTAGAAAGTTTGCAATAGAGTATTTTGTCTGTCTACATTTAAATATTTTGCTCAGTGTTACTGTAACATGGCTTCCATGACCTTTAAAGCCAGAGAAAAATAAGTCCCACAAAGTTTTGCTCTTTTTCAGTCAAAGAGTTTCATTCCAATCATTGTTGACACATGTAGTCAATAAGCCTTGTACCTCAACCCACAAAACCTCTCCACTAATATACAATTATTTAATCGTGAATGACCTTTTGCTGGTACTTTGCTGGTATATCAAGCTCTAACACAGATATTGTATTGATTCACAGTCCAAAGTGAAAGTTGGCATTAATTCCATACTGGTTTTAATTAACAGTTAAGACACTTGAATAACACTTTTGCTTTGGTAAATCCTCCCAG